CCCAATCCCTAACTCCCCCGCGTGTGTCTCCTCTTCCTCCCCTCACGCCGCCGCCGGCCCATATCCCGTGCGTCCAGACCTATTTCGTGCACCGGGCGAGACGGCCGCCGCTGCCGGAGCGGCCCTCGGCGGCGATGAGGCCAAGGTAGACACGGCGCTCGCCGCCAATTCTCGATCCCGCGCCTACAGCCCCTCTCGCCCCACCTCTGATCCCTCCACGGCCTCCTCCGGCGACGCCGCCAACCGTAGCACCGACCCTTAATCTAGGGTTTCCCGCTGCCGGATCACGCCGGGAGGCCTCCAACGGTGATGTTGTGCGCGCGGTCGATGCTAAGGAGGAGGGTGCGGGCCATCCTGCGGCAAGAGGGAGGCGCTTGCGAATGCCAAGTGCGGGGCCACGCTGGCCGGGCTCGGCGGCCGCGGGATCGGGCGCTGGGCCGATCCGCCGGCGCGTGGCAAGCTGGCGCAGGTTAGGCATGGGGTGGCCCGTGAGCACGTAGACAAGGTGCTTCCTTGGGTGCGGCGACAGGGAGGAGGGGAGCATCCTCTGCAATGTCTGCGAGGAGAGGCGTGTGATGGGTATTATCAACGATGGTCTGCTTCTTGCTTGGGGTGCTCTCCAGGTGACTTGCTTCTGAAATATACAGCGATGGCATCCACGACAAAGGTCAGCATCACCCTCGGCCGCAGAGGTCAGGTGAGTTGTCGCATCTGATATCTGGGCTCTAACACTCATATGATTCTTCTGTATTTTGATTGCTCGATTGTGATTCGATTGTACCCTCGTGGCCGATTTGGTTGATTAGAAAGGAAACAGATGATCGGATGTACAGCCTTAGTTAAGTCATAGCTGTAGCGCACACGCCGAGGTGCTCAATTATTAGTACTCATAGCTACAGTTTTGGTCCGTCAAGTGATGGTACATTGTTGGCTTGAATTTTCATGCCCCCTGAAGGTTCTAAGTGAGTGTTGCATCAAAGGGTGTTGCTGTGATTTCCTAGATATATTGATTAGGGGTGAGTCAAGGTTACATGATTTACTTCGTTGTTGGCTGGAAGATTACAATAAATTATGAATGATGGCCAATTTTATATTCAGTTGCATCTCACATGTTTTTTTTTGGATAATTGTTGTTATCTTTTCTATGACTATTGCTTGTTTCCTTTACCTGTAATATTTAGGATGACAATCCTTCCAATGCTAGGAGGTGGGCACATCTTACGCTCAAGAGGGCCGAGAAAGCTCACATTTTGGTTGACAAGATTCCGGGTACTCCTTATTTTCAGATGTTGTACTGCTTATTTTCTGTTATCCCGTTCTCTGATTTTGTGTCGTCCTAGGTACTCAGTAGTCGTGGCGCTATTCCGTGGCGGCTTCCCATACTGGTTGGCGGGGTGGAGGAGGCTCGCCGCCGTGCGCGACAGTCGCAGCGGCAGAGGACGCTGCTGCCAAGATGAAGGGCCACTTCAATTCGAAGTCGAGGACATCGGCCGATGTCGCGAGGCAGACGCCCGAGCTCCTGATCTACGTTGACCTCCACTCCGGCTCACGCTGTGATGACGCCAATTGGAAGGAGAAGGTGACATTGAATCTGGCTGGTCTTCCTGTTTTGACCCCCCGTCCTTACCTTTGGATTTGGCTTGAATTGCACATGTGTTAGTTTGAAATCTGTCGGTGGCCGTTTTACCACTCGGTTTGTTTAGCAGTGTTTCAGTATCTTAGTTGGTTCTCGTGCTAATCAATCAGTTGAGTTCTTTTCCTTTTGAGTTAAATGACAGTCTGCTTCTGATGCCCAGGTTGATGGATACATAAGGTTGGATTTGATGTTGAAACCGACATGACTAATAAGAAAATTCAGAAGAAGGCAATGCTATCATAGTATCATGCATACACACTCCATTCTATGCATATTTCTCCATTGCCTTTCTTTCATTTTTTGCCAGTTATCTTACGCTCTATCTCATTAGAATCTTGCTTCCTTTATTGTAAGGACTATGTATTCTGGTTATCTATCAATGTATGCATATTCCTCAACTACTTTTCTTCCATTTTTGTTACTAGATGACTAAACACAAAAATAATTGCCTCTATCATCAGTGGTTGTGGTCAAGAACCCTCATGATTACTACATTCTTATAAAGCAAGAAATAAAGAGATGAAGTTTCCTTTTTGTTCTGTAGTGCTTAAGAGATCTCATTTTGGAGCCATTGGATTGAACAGTACAAATTTGTTATACTGAGTGCTATATGGTTATTAAGAAATTGATTCTGTTTGAGATGATTTACTTATATGAGTTTAAGTAGCATCGATATTTTTTTTTCCCATTGTACACTTCTCAACCTACTTTTCTGGTTACATTCTCAGGCTTAGTCAATTTTGAGGCCGCAGAGATACTATCCAAGGAGAGAATCAGTGCTGAGGTAGTTACCTTTTGCAAAACACATTATGTAGTACATTTATGTTGCTAACATTCTTTTTTAACCACATCCATTAGTATTTTCTTATTATCCACTAATATTTAATAACAGGTGATCAACCGTCAGTCAATTATACCACTGATAGAGCTGCTATCAACGCATCTGTTAGGAAAACAAACAAATTGGTAACCGTTGAAGAAGGCTTTCCACAATATAGGGGCTGGTGCTGAAATATAGTTTCTCTCTCTCTCTCTCTCTCTCTCTCTCTCTCTCACCCTCACTCACTCACTCACTCATATGTTTGGGTGTTGATTTCTGAAATGCATCTTTATTGCAGCATGTCTGTCGTGGAGGACAGCTTTAGTAAGCTCAAAAGATTGGCAGCTCCATAGGTCTACACTTGCTTATTTTACATTAATCCAAAACTTAGGGGTCCCATTTTTTATATATCTTATTAAGAAAGTCCGTCTGATCAATAATAGCAAAGCAATTTTCATGAGTAGTCTTCCCCTTCCGCTCTTATCTTGTCTGTTAAGACATTTCAATAAATATTTTACATGATTTTCTGATATTAAATTTGTTTGATGTAGGAAATTTGTATAACCAAAGTAAAAATAGAATCATTCTTTGGCAAAACTGGTAGCTCCCACATACCCTAACAATAAGATATTAGGAGTCACTTGATTTTGAAAGATCATTGAACTTTATATGCCATGATTAGGACCTCATATGTTCTGCTTTTAGGATATCTCACGTGTTCTTTTCTAATTGTCATGCAATACTTTTAATGATATAGTTGCTACTACTAACAGGTGGATTCCGGATGGACAGCTTTGCTCTACTCTTCCAAACCGATTCAACTACATCCATTTGATTGAGGATCTCCTTTCTTCCGATCTCATACCAACTCAAGTTAGAAGGTATACCGGGTTTGGAGTTTGGACATAAGCATGGTAGTAGCTGACCAAATTTATTTAATAGGTAGCATGATCAAAACAGTATTTGCAAGGGTCTTGGTTTAGCTAGATAATTTACAATGTTTTTAAAGCTCATTTGTTTATTCTTGTGATCTGAAGGTCATGGAAAATATTGACTCATTTCATGTTGTCATTTTTTTTATTTTTATGTGCTGCTCAATAAAGATTGAATTAGCATTAACTATGGTAGCTTGATTAGTGCCCATAATAACGACTAATAACTGTAGATAAGTGTCATTAAAAATTAAACCAGATCGTAAGCAAGATAAGTGCGCACGGGGGACCACCTCAAGTGACGCGCCCAGGGCGCGTCCCAACCACTAGTAACACTTGACTAGTGGCACGGGTAGAGGAAGTATATATGGTATGTACACACCATGGATCTCTACTCCTAATGGACGACTTGGTGAATAGTCGTCCGGTCAATTTTTGCTGGTTTTTTTTCGTCATACTCCCACCGCCGGTTTTTTTTCGTTGGTTATTTTTCGTCTGGTTTTTTACCTCCCCACGGTCGATGCGCTCATAGGCAGCCCGCTCCCACAATCCATCGCCACCCACCCACGACTCCCTCACCCTCGCTAGGGTTCCTAGCCCCTCCTCCTCAGCCGCCGCTGCATGTTCCTCGCTGGCCTCGCCCGGGCGCCTCCCGGACCTCGCCGGGAGAAGCCAGCCAGCGGCGTTCCGACCTCCTCCTCACGCCCTCGCCCTCATCCTCCTACTCAAGATGTCACCGTCGCCTCCCTCGCCGGCGGCCATGATGACCGATCTGGCGGTGGTGCCGCAGACCACCATCTGGTCCATGGCCTCGACGGCGACGACGTAGCCCGCGCCCGCGTTCTTCCTCCCCCATCTCGTCTCCTCTCCGGTCGCTGCAGAGGAGCCCCGTTTCGTGCGGCCACCATGGTTGCCTGCAGCGAGCAGCAGAGGACCTAGCCGCCGCGTCCGACCGCAACCGCCGCCTGAAACCCTAGCCCCTCCTTCCAACTGCAGGTCCAGCCAGCAAGATCCCCTCCAAGAAGAGCATTTGATGCGTGAGTGCATCCCCTTCTCTTTTTCTTCTTCTTCTTCTCGATTTGATGTGTGCGTGTGTGCTGTTGTGTGCAGGCCCGACTCATCTCTGCTTGTGCACAACAAGGAAGGCCATGGAGACGCTGCTCCCTATGTTTAGCGCATAGAAAATGAAGGCCAAGGCGGCTCATTTGCGTGTATGTTTGTGGCTGGGCACACAATCCGTTAATCCTTCAAATTTTCGCACAGACCTATTTTTCCTCTTTGCATTTTTTTCATGTTAATTTTTTTAGATTGTTTGTGTTGGCAAATGGAAAAGGACTCAGAATCCTTGATTTCTACTGATTTTGGATTTCAGTCTCAAATTAGTTCCTCTACGTCCGATCCGGATGCCGCACTCCTCGCCACTACGCGAATCCCCCCTCGCCGCTGCGTGAATCCCCTCCGCCAGATCTCATGGTCCTCGCCATCGCGCCGGCGGTCTGGGTCGCCATGAGAAGACACGGGAGAAGCTAAACATGGTCTTGCTTTCATACCAATATCACAGCACAAATTAGTAATTTGAATACCGTTTGTAGTTTTCACCCTCGGAAAGCTAATGGACGTGAATGAAGATTATGGAGAACTTTCTTCAATAGCAAGGTCTGTACTCTGTACTGATACATTATGTAGCAACACTCTGTTTGTGCACTATCCTGTTCGTGATGTTTGTTTGATGATATAGCAACAATTTTACTTCATCCTACTCTGTATATTTATGTCCTCTCTTTAGTTATACTTCTCTCTGGCTGACAAATTTCAATGCAGGCAGGGGTCTGGAAGCGCATGCCGCAGTATATACGGTGGGTTTGTGAAATGGTGTATGGGAAAAGTAAGTGATCTCTTGGTTAAGGCGGGGAAATTGAATTGGTTAAAATGCATGTTTTTCTATTATAAAACGATTGAGTTTGACACTATACTTGTAGAATGATGATGGAAGTGACAGTATGCCAGTACAGCTTGTTGACGAATCGCATTGGTCTGATCTGGTTATAATCATAGCAGTGGTATGTCATTGTGATCTCTGTTGTGTAACAGATATTGCTCATCGAGTCATGGGTCCATTAACACCAATCCTTAACTATATAGTGACACCGTTTTACCATTTTTATCCCAACATCTTTCTCTTATATTATGTTGTAGGTCAGTTCAAAGCAGAAGGAAACCAGTAGCACCAGTGGGATGCGGGACACTGTTGAAACAAGCCCCCTCTTGCAGTACAGGGCCCAGGTGATTGCATTTTCATCTTTAACTTGTTTTTGGCACATATAGTACAATTTTTTTTACGAATCATCGAGGAAACAAAATATCCCTCCTCTTGTGTGGACCCTCAAGTTTTGTTGTTTCAATGTTTTAATCAAGTCTTTTGGCCATTTATCTCTTTAGCTGCAGCTTACTGTTTTTTGCTCTCACTCTGCATTGCACTACTTTTTCTTGTTATTCCAGACTGTAGTGCCAGGTCGCATATTGAAAATGGAAGAGGCCATCAAGAATCGTGATTTTGAATCCTTTGCCAGGTTAACTTGTGCAGATAGCAACCAGTTTCATGCTGTATGTTTGGACACGAGTCCTCCCATCTTCTACATGAATGATACGTCACACTGGTAGTTTTTTGGCAGTCCTGATTTTGAGGTTCTGTTAGTACTGAAATCCCAGAGTTGAGAATCGCTCTTTCAACCAACTGCAGGATAGTTAGCCTTGTGGAGAAGTGGAACCACTCGGAAGGAACCCCACAGGTATATTCTGTTCCTGTTTAACACTTGCTACCTTGTTTTAAATTCTTCTGACCTGCGTCGGTGCTGCATATAGGGGTTCTAAAATAAGGTTGGTTAAGCTCTGTTATGATATGCCAGTACAATAAGTTTTCACTGCACTGGATATAACATAGTTAACTAGCATCACACAATGAAGTAATTTAACTTAATTTAAAAGAGCAACAAAATTATTGCCATCTTTCTGAAAAAGGTCCAGAAAATACGAGTTTAAGCTTCCAATCCTTTGGTTTTTAGGGAACATATAGTTCAGTTTGAAGAGTTCATGATGAAAACATATTCCCGCAGCCACTGCCTCCTCGATCTACGCTAGCCTGCAGCAGCAAGGTCAGCCCCCACACTCTGCATTTTTTCATCAGGTCTTGGCACAAGAAACTGAAAAGGAGATGCTCCTAAAGTCACCACATTTAGGAAAACATAACAAGTCAGAGCATTTTAAGAATTGTTGTCTTCTGCTTGTAGCTTTGGATTCATCATGACTTATCTAAGTAGAGAGATCATAGCACTGATTTACGTGACCTCAGACCACTTGAGCACCGAGCAGTCTCTCCCTACAGAACAAATAGGTGAAATGGAAAATAACTTCAGCCGATAATTTGGTATTTAGCTATATTCAAGGAGACAATGTAGTGTGTAATCAGTTCCAAAGAAGAAGAATAGGACATCTCATTTCGTTACATTAAAAATCTTATTTTGATTCTCTCCCCCTGCAAGAAGCCATTTCACCTCATACACCCCCACCGTCAGCAGGTAGCAGATTCATGTAATAGCCCCTCTCTTGCTAACCCCTTCTCAGTCCTAAGTTTGGCTCACATTGTGATTTAGTGGCACCAATTACAAAAAATTCAACTTATTTTGTGGGTATATTAAACTGCATCACACAAACTAAGCAATGTAGACAAATCTATGTTAACACCAACAGAGCATGCATTATTTAATTTTTTGGGGGACTTAATTCATTGAATTTTTTTTTGCGGAGACTTAATTCATTGATGCAATCCATATCTTGTACTTCTTTACAACAAGATGTTTCTTCTCGCAGAGGGATTTCCTGACAATCAAATGCAAAGTTTGCCACTTGCACTACTGATGATATATGTTGCATAGTGTACCAATTTAATGATGTGCTCATCTTGCTTGGACAGAACAAGGAATTTAGGTATAACTCCACTCATATATAGATACCCATCTTATTTATTCAAGCTATCTTTTAACGCTGAGCTCTGGTGTCATCCTATTTTCTACTTCCTCCATCGCAAAATAAGTGTCTCAACTATGTTATTCTTTTTCTACCATTCATTACTTAGCATTATATTCTCTGTATATATGCATGTCAAGTTTGTTGTGTTTGAAAGATGACTAAGAGTAGCAGTAATATCATATGGCCAGCTTAATTAATATTCCAACCACCAATCATGGCTACTAACTACAAAGGAAAGCAGTCATATACTCATATGTGTACCTTCACTAAGAGTAGCAGTGCCTGGAGTTTAGATATTGCAGACTGTAGTGTTGTGGTCAATAAATCATGTCAAATGTTGTAGGGTGCTCGAAGTAATGAGCTTGCTGCTGCTTCAATGCTGGAAGACACATCTTCTAGCATACTACAAGTGTTGATGTAGCTAAGCTTTTCCACATTGACCTTGAAGCCAAGTGCACCTCTGTAGTATTTGTTGGAGCTGATCGCCAGCTCCTCTTCTTCTTCGTCTAGCTTCCTCTCAAAGCTCACGCAAGAACAAAAGAACACAGATATTTGGTGGCCGCTATATCACACAGCCGACCCTTTTCTCTTCTCTGTATACTTTTCTCAAAGCAAATATGCGTACAAGTGCTTAAGTAGACTCATGCCCACGCAGCCGGGCCACACACTCGCCCACTAACTGCATGCACGCACCCACTCACACCACTAACTAATGACCTGATCTTCTCCTAGAATCACTCCGGGAACCACACGACCCGGCCACTCATGCAACAGCAGCTAGCAATCTCGGACATGCATACACAGCAGCCTCTCGCCACCGTTCGGCATCTCGCCATGCGCCATATCTCACGGCTCCTCGCATCTCACCTCCTGCATGTTCTCCGAGGCTCCACCTGATACAACTACCTATATGCATGGACAAGCAAACTAATATGCAGATACATGTGAATCAAGATTAACAAAGCTAACAGTCTTGTCTTGCTGAAGAAAGAGGAGAAGTTGAACGTATAAGGTATTTTCATCACTAACTTGGTTCAGCTTCTAGCAGCCTTTCTATGTATATTAGATGATTTTGGCCTATGAATTCGATATAAATGTACCATTCATTGTGCTGACAGCGAGTTCAGAGCATCTGCCATTGCCGAATTCATATCGGTTAACACACTTCCACTGATCACGACCCTCACACACAGGAAAATGCATCTGCGATATTTGATAGTCCAGTCAAGAAAGAAATCTGTTCTCGTCCTCCTCTATTTTGCAATAACTCGTTCGGTTTGCGTCGATCCTTCGTGTCCTTTTCCTATCAAGGCTGGTAGTTATTCCTCTTCTTGATTGTTTTGTGTGTTGTCACAGGCGTCGTGGCCGGAGGCCACGTGAAACCCACCGCCGCCAAGGGCGACAACTATTTCCTCTTGCTTCACCGCCTTGTAGCCAAGGAGATCAGGCGTGTCCTTCTCTGCTGCTACGCCAGGAGCCTTCACCGGCTCCAAGACATGGTGGCCATCGATTCTCCGACGCCGATGAGGAATCGGTTCCATCGTTGACATATAACCTGACAAGGTAGCGGCACAGGCTCTCCTCATCGTGATATGATCTTATTTTTTTCGCTTGATCTTGATGTGTTCTTTGCTGCCCATGTATCGTGGGTTTAGTGGTCTGTTTTTTCCTACGTTGAGTCGACATTCGTAGGACGCCCGGACAGGCCAATGACACCACATGCTAAGTGCTTGACAATGGTAACGGGCTCCACAGAGTGCGCGACCTCTACGATGGAGACTGGCCTCGCTACAGAGCACAGATGTCGGCATATGCTCTCATTCCTTGATTTATCTTTACTTTAACTACTCACTTCATCTCACGGTTGCTGGGCAGGATGGGTTTCGCTGGCGTTGTGGTCCAGACATAATAATTCTTTGAAGGAGTGCCATAGTGGAGTGATGTTAAAAAAAAGTGTGATGTGCCACGGATTGATGAAGTGATTTCTAGCTGCTACCATAATTGGTGACTGCACTCTTCTTAACCAAGCTTCAGTCTAAGGTAAATGATACTACATATTATGACTCCTCTTTTTAATCTCCAATTTCTCGTGTTGAAGTATTGCTATTAATGCTTGCTTGTACATTAATTTAGCTATTGGAATCCTTCGTCGTCTTCCTGTTTGGTTGGTAATTATTTGGGAGATAATAAGTTTGGGGTTTCAGGCACCTTGGTATGCACATGGCAAAGCAGAGCCCAAGAACATGATTATGGACGGTAACATGTAGTTTCATCGCCCATACTTACGGTCACACTACTGTACCTACAGTCACTCATTCAATTTTTTTAGAGGAACTGCATTTCGCCGACCTGGACGTTGAATTAACGAATTTGAAAGGTTCAGAACATAAATGATTTTTTGAGATTAAATAGAAATTCCTAAATTAGATGGCATAGTCGCTCCGTTGTTGAAGTCCGACATTTGAGCATCCTTTGCAGGACATGGGTCGATGCGACCACATTGGACAACCACAGTTGGTTCGTATTTACGGGTTGGCAACATAATTCTATTGACGTATCGTTAGGGGATGACTTTTGTACTATTGCTTGGCTATAAGTTTTTTTGTGTCAGTGCTGATCTCCTCATTGCTGCAGGGCGGTTTAGTAAGATATGTTTTGGACCGCTAAAGTTATAGCAAGATACTGCCAAGCCTAACACCCTGGATGTAGGAATAAAGTCTCTCCCTAGAGTGTAGAAGATTCTGTAAAAGTAAAAGACGTTGAGGGACGAGCAGGACAAGGAAGACAAGATGATCTAGATGGACATCAGCGATGAGGACTTCCTATAAATGATTGAACGGAGTGAACTCACCTACCTGTTGATTAGTACTTTTTTTTAATCGGTGTGAACTAGGTACTATAAAAATATATCAGTACTCTTTTCCTGTCAATGTTAACTTGATACTATAAAAATATACCTGTACCATATATTTGAGCCAGAATCAAACTGATTGTGTTTATTAGTTATCCAAATTTGAGCCAGGTAGTGAGAGTCATATGGACAGTGACATTCTTGTGCTTGGGAATTGTGAAAATGGAGGGGGCGATGTCTTTTGGCTTGTGCCCCCCAAGCCATGGGGAAGTGCCAAAAGGGGGTCCTCTTTCCATTGAAAATGGTGATGGTGGTGCACTCATAAAAGAGTGCCATGTCTTCCTCATCGCACAGGTGCCCTAAATCAACCCAAGCTCAGCTCGGGTCCTTCCAAGCCTGCCAAGGTCACTGGGGACGCAATGCACGCGCGGAATTTTCCATGTCCAGGATGCCCAACCCACCCAAATCCTTAGGCTTGCAAATGTTGGCCCCCGCCCAAATCCTTAGGCTTGCAAACGTTGGCTCATCTGATCTTACATTTCCACTGGAAACCTTATCTATGCCACCCCAAAGGAAAGCTTGTTGCAACTTGCCAATGGAAAACATTGTTCCTTTGGGTACGACAAGCGAAGTGAGGTGGTGGATGGCCAGCGAAGTGACAACCGACTTTACCCAAGTTCTTCTGCCAGCCATCGTAAGGAACTTCCCTTGAACGGGCATGATTTTTCTGGCAATCTTATCAAGCAAATTCTGGACGTCCACAGCCCACAACCGGTGAATAGAGAGAGGAAGGCCGAGGTACTTCAAGGGGAATTGAGCTCGGACCGCTAGGAAGTCACCCAAAATCATGTCCAGATCGACATTGGAGCATCTGATAGGGGCCAACGAGCTCTTATGGATATTTGCAACTTGACCGGTGACATTGCCAAAGCTCTAGAGGATGGAGGCAAGCATGTCCATGTCCTCCTTAATAGGCTTAAAAAAACGCTGCATCATCTGCACACAAGGAGGCACGAAGACAAGCCCCGCAACCACGTAATTTGTGCAGGCTACCATTGGCCGTAGCCACGTCCAAAATCTGCTGAAGGGGGTCAATCGCAAGGACAAAAATAAGGGGCGATAACGGGTCACCCTGAAGCATGCATTCATGACAACTTCATGTATGTACGCAACTATGCTCACCATCTCCAACGAACCAACACGCCA